CTCACAAGGACGAGAGCTCAACTGACCGGAGAGGAAGTGAGAGTTAATAACGGACGAGAGGAAAGAAGGAAACGACCTCCTCAGACAACGGAGCAGTGAAATCAAATATCAGATATTATCATCAGAACACATCAAACTTTATTCATGTGGCACTTTTCAAACAAATCAGTTCGACAAAATGTTTAAAGAGCTTTTTTGCGTTGTTTCCGTCCCCGTCAGCCGCTCAAACTTTAGTTTCCTGTGTTTGTGTTGAGAGTTCGAATCCCTGCCGCTCTGCAGATAAAGTATCTACACATGTACTTCAGCTGAGTGTTAACACAGCTCACACACATTGTTGGCATTCCTCGCTGCACTTTGTCGTACAGCCGCCGAACAATGACGACACAGTTACTGCAGAGGCTCAAATATGCAAAACCTGCTCTCGCTCTCTATCCCGGAGGATTCTGGGAGTTTGCTCCATTTTATCCCGTCGGTGCCAAAGTTTCTCTGAGCAAAGCATTTTAACAAACAGGGCAGAGGTTCAGCAGCGGCTCTCTGACAGCTGATAACGAGTTGTAAACAAGGAGATGATAATATGATGATGAGATTTAAAACTTTGATTGTTGAAATTAACTTTTATTATTGAGCCATCAAACTTTACGACCTTTGCTTTGGGTTTACTAGAAAGTTAAAAAAACACTCAAAGTTAATTAAGCTTTATTAAAAACATCATCACATTTACATTTGCAGATTTGTAGGCTGATAAAAAAGCGATAAGATAAATTAATATTTAACTCGAGAACTAATATTCTCTGATGTGTCCGTTCTAATATTGAATCCATCTTCCCTTTAATCATTTTAATGTTTTGTGTTTTCAGACTGTTCATCAGACGAATTAAAGGATTTAGAAACTCACGCTCTCACAAATCGACTGTTTTCAAATGATCAATCGATCAACTGAGGAAATTATCTGCATTTTGCAGCTCCGGACACTTTGTTCACCGATGACGTCACAGTTTATATAACGAGAAGAAATTAAAAACATTAAAAGACACAAACAAGAATGAGCAACTGTTTCCATGAACTGGGGCGAGTGACCGCCAAAATAAAACAACAACTAATGGGTTTAGTCTTGACATTTACAGTTGTGTATGTGTGTGTGTGTGTGTATGTGTGTGTGTGTGTGTGTGTGTGTGTGTGTGTGTCTGTTTGCCCTTTTTATTAGTGTGTTTGCAGTTTGTGCGTCATCGATCCAGGGCAAGGTACACACATGAATACACACACACACCCACACACACTTGGCTGGAAACTCACTTAACACAGATGACCTTTAGGCCTGTGTGTGTGTGTGTGTGTGTGTGTGTTTTGCTGGACTCTCTCACATCTGGTTAGCGCTCCAGGGGAGGGAGGTGTCACATCATCACACTCTCCCCTTCCCCTCGGCTCCTCAGTAAACTTCTGGTGATTTCTGGTTAAAACAGACACGTCCTCCTCTGGTGGAATTACAGACCTGACAGGACGTCCCACCTGGTTTTTAAAACAAAGTCCTGCAGATAAACGGATGCAAACGCTCCAATACGAGGCTTTGTTTTAACACCAGAGCAGCTTTACTTCTGTAGGCGAGAACACAAACGTCTCAGTCAGTTGTTCTGGAACTTTTCCTGCAGCTGCAAAAACCAAACAAATATGTCAGGGTGAAGAAGAGGAGCCAAGAGATTCCAGATCTGTTGGTGATGAGGGCCGACGCCGGTGTGGACGAGCTGGAAACAAACCACACTGATCTTTCCACAGCAGATTGAATACGTCATGTCCGGCCTCCTGCTGCTCTGCTGCACCTCCACATTCTGAATCTCTGATTCACCGTTACACGATGTGTTCCCTGCACGTTGTGATGCAGGAATCTCTCATCTCAAATCGACCCCGAACTCTAATTCTGCATTTACTCTGTATTCCGCTGTTTTCACCTCATGTGCTTTTCTGTCTTTGCATAAACACGTAGATTTCTGCAGCTCGTTTCCGCTCAACCCAGGTCGGAAATGTTATTCAGAAAAAAGAAAGCTGCTCCTTCAGTGGAGTCTGTGATCCACTGATTTCTTGTTCCAGTTTAAACTCCCAGTTTCCCCCGTTCACCTCCTTGTGTTTCGCAGCTGGAGAGTGTAACGTTACAGCTGCTGAATAACACGTCAGTGTTGAGCTGCAGAGACAAAGAGGGTTCTGTTGTGTGTCTGTGTGTGTGTGTGTGTGAGTTACACCCAGTGTCAGTGACTCGCAGGTCGGTCGACTGCCCTTTAATCACATTTTTTTACTTTTCATACACACTCACGCTCGCCCACAACCACACGCTCTGCAGAAATGACAGGGAGCACATAGAGCGTCCCCGAGTTTCTCTGGAGCGTCCCCGGTCCCCTGCAGCCGGAAACCTCGTCCCTTTTCTTGTCCTTCAACACAACGACGAGCATCAGCTCCTCCCTGTGTCCTCACGTTATTTATCGTGTCCACATTCAGGAAGGTTTTACCGGAGAAAGGCTGCAGAGAGTAAAGTGGTGTCAAAGGTCACGTAAACCAGATCTGAACCCACAAAATATCCCTTCGTTTTTTAAATGTGGTTCCTGTGTGTAATTACTCCTCCGTTTTAAAGCGACGCCCTTTTTCTTTTCTGTTTCCTCTTTCTGAAGCTGAAACTTGAACCAAAGTCTAAGTTTTTCTTTAGTCTGCTGAGGCCGGATGATACAAAATGTTTGTGTTCCTCATTCTAGTCGAGGGTTGAGGACGGAGGAATGATTATCAAATCATGTATGAGGATGTACAAATAAAATTAGAACGTGAACGTGATATCAGCCATCGTTTTCAGATATTCCGTTTTTTTGCTGTTTCACAAGAAGCCGACTTTACATTTTCACGATGAATAAAATGAAAAGCAACAAGCTGTGTTTTATTTATTCGAGCTGAAACTATAATTAAAATCCTCGTCAGCGCAGCAGAACAGAATTTGGGTTTTGTGAGAGGTTTAATAACATCAGCGACAGTTTGACGCACGAGATTGGCTCTCGGTAACCGTGGAGATTCAGCAGTTGCCAGGAGACGCTCGGGGTGGGGGGGTGGGGGGGCGTGATGTTGAAAAGTTGCTGTAAATGTTTTTCCGTGATGTGACGGGTTAGGACATTCATAACACGGCTTGTTTACAGAAGCTGCAGGAGTTAGAGAGGGACCCAGTGGAGGAGAAGCATTTCAATATTTGTCCTCCTCTTCCACTGAATAGATTCACGGTGTGCTGTCAGTGTTTGCATTACACACACACACACACACACACACACACACGGAAATGACCTCTTCACCTCACAGACACACAACACACTCCTGCTGTATGCTCCCTTATATGGCCTGTGTGTGTGTGTGTGTGCGTGTAAATGCTGCGAGTCAAGTTCTCTCTTTCTCCGTCTGTAATCGAAGCCACATGTTTGGCGTTGGGCCGCCCTCCTCCTCTTGTTTCCTCCCGTCCTCCATCTTGATTTCACTCTCACTTCTTCCACCCATCCGTTGTCATCTTTCTTTTGTTTGCCGTTGCGTAACTAAACTGCAGATGATCTTTTCTCAAACAGCTGAAACTCCTCTTTTACTCCATCTGCGTCTAATTTAAGTGATTTACTCTCTTTTCGTTGGCTGAACCCTGACCGCTCTCACGCGGCTCATTGGGCACATTTAGCGTTTTCTGCCTGGTAACTCAAGTTACATCAGAAGTTCGCTCACATCCTCACAGCGAGTTCAGGCGAGGACGCCGCTGGAAACTTTAAATTTGCAGTTTTCACACATTTGTAAGAAAAGATTTATGATCCCTGTGTGGAAAAATACTTCTCGCTGTATTCAAATACAAAAATATAGTATAATGTGTGAGTTTAATCCATGGACTGTTCATAAAGATGGACGACATTATATACTCTTTTATTTTATAGTATTCCACACATATATACCTGTATAACTTTCTGTATTCATAATATATCGTAAACTACTGTGAATTTACACAAATATATTGATTTGCATCTCACTGTCCGAATCGTCTGCTGCTGCAACGAGGGGATTTCCCCAGTGTGGGATCAATAAAGTTTTATCTTATCTAAACTACACTGAGCTTCTTAGAACTGAATCAATCAGTTAATTAAGTTATGAGTTATGATAATAATAATAAATCCCAAATATAAGTTCAAGTAAAAACGTAATGATTTTGTTCAGTGCTGCGTAATTAGAGGGTTTAAAAGCTAGTTTCCTGTCGGAAGATCCAGCTGTACCACACACACACACACACACACACACACACACACAATCACATACACATAGACACACATCCACACACACACACACACCTACACGTGTGCAGTATGTTATCAACACATCAGCACCTTGGTTTTGCTTTGGCTGCTTTTTGTTGATTCCTTAACACGGACACACACACACACACACACACACACACACACACACACACACACACGGACACACACACACACACACACACACACACACACAGACACACGGACACACACACACACACACACACGGAGGAATGCAGCAGAAGGAATGTGATGAAGGATAAAGAGACACTGGGGGTTGGTGGTCGGGGGGGTTGACAACAAAAGAGGACTCATCGTAGACTTCTGCATGTGTTTTATAAATTTGTCACCACACTGAGAAACACACACACACACACACACACACACACACACACACACACACACACACACACACACACAGAGACACACAACTCACACACTGATTGTTTGGAGACAGACAGTTTTACAGGTTTTTGATTGGTTGCTTTACGGTTCCCATGGGGCAGAGGCAGAGCAGCGAAGACTTCAAGGAAAGAATTTAAGTGTCTGTAATTACAGAGCGAGGGACGCAGACTAACTTATATAATCATCGACTGTCTCCTCCTGCTCGTGGTTTCGTCTCTGACGGGATCAAACTCATGTTTTCGTCTTTTTATAGAATATTTTCTTTCTCCCCCCCCCCCCCCACTCCAGCATTTCTCTGAGCTCCTGGACGACCTGTCTCATGACGCCCTGCTGGGTCAGCTCCTCAGCGACCCCTTCCTCTCCGGGGTGCGGGGCGGCGTGGAGGCCATGGAGGGCGAGGAGGACGAAAGCGACCTGTCCCCGTCCTCGCCTCTGCCCCCCCACATCACAGCCGAGCACAGCTACTCGCTCTGCGGGGACAGCCGGCCGCAGTCGCCCCTGTCACACCTGACCGGGGAGCAAGGCAGCGAAGCCGGTGAGACACTGAGACGTACTCGGGGTGGGGGGGTGGGGGTGGATGGTGTTGGCTGATATGTTCAAACTTCATGTTGACGGGTTCTGTTCTGCACCAGAATCGGACGGGGACTCAGCTGATTGGCCCATGGAGCAGGACGAGGCCATGGACGCCATGGACGCCATGGACGGCCTCCTGTGTGAGACTCCCTCCCTCCTCCCCAGCCTCTCCCTGTCCCTGGCCTCCAGCGAGGGGCCCCAAGCATCCGAGGGCCCCGCCGCCGCCCCTGCTGCTGCTGCCGCCGCCCCTGCTGCAGCCGCCCCGGCTCAGGCCACAGTCAGCAGCCACAACCAGAGCAAGAGCATCAAGGTGAGAAACCACAGATGAAGAAGAAACTGAGACTTCTACTTTTCCCTGTTTCTCAGCTCATCCCCTCTTCTTCTGTTTGTCGTTCCAGATAAAAGAGGAGAGCATCGTCCCTCAGATCAAACTCGAGCCTCATGAAGTCGACCAGTTCCTCAACTTTTCACCCAAAGGTCAGAATCTCTTCCTCCTGAGCTGTGAGGACCCCTGCTGGCCATTTGTTCAGATACCGCAAATCCAAGCTGAGCGTTGAGTCTTCGACTCACGTAAAAGAGAAGTGCTTGAGTAATGTACTTAGTTACTCTCCACCACTGAAGCTCATAATGTAAAGAATAATAATTATTAAATGTAAAATGTTGATCTGAGTAGTAAAAGTAACTGAACCACAGGAAACAGGTTCATTTATTTCCCTCTGAAGGAATAAAAACTCTTGGAAGATGTAAGAACTTCAAAATTGTACTTCAGTAATTGACTTGATCGAAAGAACGCGGCTCCTTGATGTTGAAATGAAAGACGACACGATGCTTCTCATCGATCTTAATACTTTTGGATCTGATATTTAAAAGAAGAGATGCTCTCACTTAATCTTTTCTTAAATACTTAAATATTGTTTCCGTCGCTCAGACCAAATCAAACTTCTGCTCCTCGTCGTTTCTCCGTCTCTCAGGTCTGGAGTCTCTGCAGATGCCTCCCACTCCTCCCAGTTCCCACGGCAGCGACTCGGAGGGCAGCCAGAGCCCCGTCCACGCTCCGCCCAGCCTCTCCTGCCCCACCTCCCCGACCAGCCCCTCTCCGTCCCAGGCCAGCCTGAAGGTGGCGCCGCGGGCCGCCTCCTCCCTGTCCAACTCCCCCTTGCTCACCGCCGCTCATGTGAGTTAACCTTCATGTAGAAGTACCACATGTACGCAGTCTGGAGTTCAGGCTCAGGTTGTTTTATGTATTTGATTTTTAAACATTTGATTTCTCTGTGTAGAAACTGCAGGGCTCAGGGCCGCTGATCCTGACGGAGGAGGAGCGTCGGACTCTGGTTGCCGAGGGTTACCCCGTCCCCACCAAACTGCCGCTCACCAAAGCCGAGGAGAAGGCGGTGAAGAAGATCCGCAGGAAAATCAAGAATAAGGTACAAATTACATTCTCGACTCATTTACAATTTATCTAAAATGACTCAACTTGAACAGGATTTGAGTTATTTATTATTCAGATGCACAATTTCATCATGAAAACCTAGAAAATAAAATTTGCAAAGTTTATTTCTTCAGGTCTGATGCTCCTCGTGTTTCTAATTTAATCCGCTCTGACATTTCATTGCTTCGTCTTCTCTCCGTCAGATTTCAGCTCAGGAGAGTCGCAGGAAGAAGAAGGAGTACATGGACGCTCTGGAGAAGAAGTGAGTCCCGATTCTTGTCGTTCTTCATCCTTTCATCAAAGTGAATGAAGAAGACTTGAATGATTCTGTCTGCGGGAACAAACTGAATCATTATCAACCTCTGCTTTAGATATCGTCATCGTGAGCATGTTGCCCCCTGAGTTTCTTTGTTTATCGTAGAATTAAAATAAAGTCAATGTTAATTTTATTTTTAATAAAGCTGAAACGTGCAGAGTAAGAAAATAAACAGAGAACTGAGGCACTGACCCTGCAGTACTTCTGTCTGACCACAGGGTGGAGACCTGCTCTAACGAAAACAACGAGCTGCGCATGAAAGTGGAATCTCTGGAGTGTACCAACAAGTAAGAACAACACGCACACACACACACACACACACACACACACACACACACACACACACACACACAACAAACAATAGACCTCATGTCTTTAATTGTGTGTTTTTAGTCCCTGATCTCATGAAAATGTCTTCGACAACATGTCCGACCATTAAAATAGCAGATTAAACGTCAACAAGTCAAGAGCTCCGTCATGAGAGCAGATGTTTACAGATGTTTGACTCCTGTCAGTCACAAAGCTTCGGGACGTTCAGGCCTTTGTTTTACTGACACACAGGAAAACACTGAACCTGAATCTTATTGTTCGTGAATGATGCCGTGTCCAAAGCTTCTCCTGCATCTGTTCAGCTGCAGCCATAAATAATCATGAGGCTATTTTCATGTAAAATGCTCAGTGTGTGTGTGTGTGTGTGTGTGTGTGTGTGTGTGTGTGTGTGTGTGTGTGTTAGACCCAGTGAGTGTGTTAAGTGCATCTGACTTGACTAGAACGCAGCTGTTTTCAGTCTTGTTTGCACTCGGTGGTTAAAGTGGCCGTCACTGTCACCGCCGAAAAGTTAAATGAACCAGTTGCATGTGTGTGTGTGTGTGTAATAAAAATAAAAGCTCAGTGGAGAATCTGACGCTGAATAAGAGACGTTAACACTGAACAGATGCCAGTAATGTTTATTCTCTACACAACACATCATTATATTATAATAGATCCTCAGGTTTCATCAAACTGCTTCATCAGATATTTTCTCTTTTTAACTCATTTTATCAAAACATTTGTCCAAACCTCATTAATATTCAGTTTACAGAGAAAACCTTCTCCTGTTAGAGGCTGAAATCTCCAAATGACCATTTAAAATATTTCTGTGTGAAACAAACTGAGTCATTAAATAACATAAATAACAATTGATTTTCTTTCAATGGATCCATCGAGTAATCAGCAAATCTTTTCAGGTCATTCAGCCGTTCATTGATTTCTACTTCTCTTCGATTAGTCCTCTCTTTACACATATTCTTTCCTGTATCTGACCTGTGTGTTATGTTGTGTGTATCTAATGTTTGTGTGTGTGTGTGTGTGTGTGTCCTCCAGGTCTCTGCTGCAGCAGCTGCAGTCTCTGCAGGCGGTGGTGGCGGGCAAAGTCCCCAAGTCCTGCAGGATGGCTGGCACCCAGACATCATCGTGCCTAATGGTACTATACTGTGTGTGTGTGTATGTGTGTGTGATGTTTTTGTGTGAGTCATTATTTATTTACCTCCTCTTTCTTTCTTCGCAGGTGGTCGTGTTGTGTTTTGCTCTGTTTCTGGGGAGTTTTTACCCCGACAGTCTGAGCCCCTGCTCCACCATCACTGAAACAGGCCTCGCCTCAAAGCAGCTGTCAGTCAAAGAGTCGTACACGGCCACAGGTGTGTGCACACAAACTACACACGCATCAGTCGTGAGCTTCATTAAACATACTTCTAAACTGCGGATATGAGACACTGTAATAAAATTATGCCATAAAACGTCAAAGCACATTAATGGATAAATGGGATAAAACGTTTTCCCGGAGTCGCAGCTTCAACTGTCAGACTCGGGTCCAGACAGTTGAAGAGTGAAGCTGAACTGAGATCAGTTAAAAACACTTTTATGAAGAACCAGAGTTTATCTCACTTACTTTACATCGCTCACACTTTAGTCGTCAATATAAGCACAATAAACCTGTTTACCTACAGGTGCTCATTTCTGTGTTCCTAGCATCATGCATTATTGGAAGTAGACACACACACACACACACACACACACACACACACACACACTGAGGGTTTGAACTGACCCGTCCTGCTGTTTCCATTGTAATGAATCATTAGTTCCCAGCTGTAAAACTGTGGAGGTCCATTATAACATCAGCAATAATCAGATTCCACCTACAGAGCAGCAATAACAGCCACAGAGACTGATTAGAGGAGTTGACCTTTAACTACATCCTCTCCACTACCTCCCCCACACACACACAAACACACACACACACACACACACACACACACACACACACACACACACACACAAACACACACTTTTATAATAGAGACCAGATATAATTTTCTTAAAAATCAAATCCAGTGTCTTGTCCCATCCTGCCCACACACACACACACACACATGTGAGCTGAACTGTTTTTTTCAATATGAGATAATAACATGTGGCGCTATATTATTATATATATATAAGTGTGTGTGGGACGTTGTGTACTTTTGTGTGAGAGTGTGGGATTTATATAGACGACTGGTGCCACTGGGCGTGTGCAGACTAAATAGTTTTAACCATAAACTGTAAATAAAGATGGACGACGCGTCTCCACTTCCTCCCTCTGAACGTAAATGAACCCAGAATATCTCAGAACACGGAGCTGAACATTCATCAGTTTGATAAATGACAGAAAACATCTTTGAGAAACATTTGTTTCATGTTAACTTTTTAGTTTGGTCCCATCTGCTAACATGGAGGAGACAGGGTTTAGGGTCTGTGGTGCAGTCCGCCACCAGGGGGCGATCGTCAGTCGAATGCTCCAATTAAATTATAACCAATAAAAATGTTTAACTGATTAATAAAAATCTCTTTCAGTGAAGTCGAGGAATCTGCTGTCGACTTTTGAAGACGAGCAGCCGCACCTGCTCGGTCTCGGCGGCGAGTATCCCGACCAGTGGGAGGACACGCCAGCCGTCGTCATGGCAGCGTGGCGTCACTCGGAGCAGCAGAAGCTTGGGGTGGAGCCCAGCAGGGAGGAGACACACCCACCTTTCATGAGTAAAAACAACGATACGCAGACGCAGACAAACCTGCTGCTGGACCTGCACAGGTAAACACACACAAACACACACAAACACACACAAACACACACAGAGACACACCAACATCAGGGGATTTAATGTTGGTTCATCTGTGGAGGAGAAGAAGTGATTATGATAAATCAGATTAATCCAGTTTATTCATGTCGGCTGGTGTGAACACAACCAGGACTGAGCAGCAACACAAAACCTGTTTATTGAATGTTATCTAAAGAAAGCAGAGTGTTTTCATCTCTGAGATCATTGTGCTTCTCTTTGTCTCGTTGTGGACATGTCTGTCTCTTTCTGTCATTCTGTCCTTTGTCTCTCGTTTTGAGTCATTTATTTCACATTGTGCTCACTCCATTGTGATTTCCCTGTCGTTCAGACCCTGACACCCCCCACAGAACTGATCCAGCACGTCTGTGGCTTCACAGATGTTCATTACAGATGTGATGAAAGCTCAGAATACGATGACGTCATCTCACCTCTTGGCTTTTTGTCAGGTCTCTGGAGCAGATGACGCACGAGAGCAGCAGTAAAGTGATAGAGCTGGAGCGAACCGTCAACGAGACCTCCTGAGGTCGACGCCCCCTCGTCCTTCACACCCCCACACCCCCACCCTGACCTTTGACCCTCCCCCCCTCTGGAGCATGGTTCAGTGTCCTGGAGCAAACCTCATACAGCAGTTATACATGCACTGCTGATTGTTATTTAAGGTCATTTATGTTTTCAGCCATCTCTGTTTAATCAGATACACTGTAGTAGTAAGAATGGGAATTCAGGGGCACTGGTTGCCTCCTGTTGTGAAGTAAAAGTTGCACTGAATAGTTTTTACACGAGTCAGCTCATCAGTTTTATTCGTCCTAATTGACCCGACATGAAAACGCTGTTAAATTCAGATAAATTAAAAAAAAAACGATCCAAATGTAGCGCGACATTCATTCCGATGGAAAGTGTCTGAGAATACGACACGTGAGGCTGTTTTTACAGGACACTGACGAGGACCTCTGTATTTATAGAAATCTTTTTTTAGTTGTATTTCTTTTAATATTAAATGTTTTTAATTCTATTCCATACAGTTCAACACGTTTTGATACTTTCATTGTGTTTTATGATTTATTTTATTGTGCTATTTTATATTTTGTTCATATTTCTTCAGCTGACTTCGAGATTTCACGCGTCGAGGGGTTAACTTCGGGGTTCCTGCGCTTATTTAAAAAAAAAAAAAAAATCCCTGAAATGTTTGGTGACGTTTAAAAGACCAGAAATGAAAAAGTGTTGGACGGTGGGTGTTCATGCAGCTGGAGAACAAATGTCATTTCACACCTTTAATTTAGATGTTTACTGGTTTGCAAAAAGAATCGGGGGATTATTGATTCCACAGACGCTCACGTTTGACATGTGGGGACCCTGCGAGCGAAGCCTCAGGCATTTGGACTGTGTGCAAGTCAGGGGTCAATATTCAATACTTTTCTTTCTGTTCATTTTCTTTTAGTTTTGGTCATGAAATGCATTTTAACGAGCCACACGTTTCAAGTAGAAAACTTCACCTTAAAAAAAACTACTACGCATCCGGAGACATTTTGGGAAACACGTTTATTTTGCTTTTGACTCTTTATCTGTTTATCTGCATCTTTTAAAACTCACTAATTAATAAATGATATAAATTAATTACTGAGCCCTATAGTTGCTGGTTTTAAATCCAGCCGGTGATTTGGACAGATCCACGCTGGCTGTCTCCAGATTCTGCTCTAGCTTTGTTCAGACCTGAGAGACGAATCACTCCTCTCACTGAAAGCAAATAAAACTGTTTCCCAATATGTCGAACTGTTGCTTAAAAAGAAGTTTTGAGAATGTGTGATGGAACCACAGATTTCACCTCCTGCGCTCACCTCACTTGGCCTCTAATCCTCGCTTTGCACACTGTCAGCTCCAAGAGTCTTTATCTGCTCTTTTTTTAAGCATTTACCAAAAAAATATTTCTACCCAGAAATAAAAAAAAATCTATTTTTGTAAATATGAGTTGTTAATAAATGAGAAAGTCTAAATGTGTCTGGGATGTGCAGTTTATAAACCAACCTGTGATTCATTCTGTCACGAACGTGAGTTTGTCTTGACTGGTTTCTGGGTTGTAGTTTGATCTTTTGATGATTGCAGGTCATCGTGGCTCTTATCTGTTCATATTAAGTGTTTTACAGATGTGTTGTCATGTGTGTTACAGACACAGACATTCGGGGGAAATGTCCACCATCTTTAATTGATCCCTGTCGAAAACGACAGTGTTTAGCTCTGCGTCTGTTGTTTGAACTGAAACACGATCTTCACTCTGTAGAAAACACAAGATGAGATGTTGTTTTCATATTTGAAATTTTCACGACCTGCTCCCTCCAGTTGAGAGCGTTTTTAAAAAAGTCAGATTTCATTTCTATGTTGCTTCTGTGTAAAGCCCACGTGACCTATAGGCTTTCTGTCTTTTTGCATTCAAACGAATAAAGTATTTTCCGTAGTAAAAGCAGACTTCCTCTTCCTGTGTGTGCTCTGTTCATGTAGGATTGTTGAAAAAGTTTTTCTTATTGTTTTTGAAGTCGGGTTAAATTCACTCTGTCTGTCTGTCGGAGTTTTTTTCATAATCCTGCTGACAAACAGACATGAATAGAAATAACTCCTTGAAATAATGAAGTAAATAAGACCAATTGATTTAGGTATTTTAATTATAGATGAATATTTATGCTGAATTAATGCTCATGCTTATGTTTTTTATCGTCCAATTATCAATTTACAACAACATAGTTTCTTAAATTCTCTTTTTATATAGAAAAACTTAAAATTCTGGTTAAGAAAACTTTATTAAAGTTATTTTATAATAACATTTCGATACTGGTTGAAAAATAAAAAGAATACGTAGAAAAACTGAAACGCTTCTTTCAGTGGATGATGATAATTCGTCGTCTGCTTCAAAGCATTTTTCTCACAAGTTGAAATTAAGTTAAGGCCAAACTGCATTAGGACGGAGAGGAGTCTCATGGTCAACACGCCGCTCCACACAGGAGCCTCTATCTCCTCTGAAATGACCAGCGTCCTAAAATAGCTCGGCTGCAGCGCCTCATGATGAGGAGTGAGAATTACTCTGACAGTCCCCGAGACAATAGACAGTCCCACAGCGTCACAACACACCAGTCTCTCAGAACCGCTGCGGACAGGAAGTCCAACTGCACCAGGATCACGTGTAAAATTCATTTCACACACATTCACTGTTACTGATTCAAACAGGTTTCGTTCGATGGTTACGTGACATGAAGACGGGCGACTTCCAAAAGTGAAGCCAAATCATCACGATCGCCCCCTGGTGGCTGACTGCAGTTTAGTTCATAAACTGCCTCCTCCATGTTAGCAGATGGGACAAAGGGTGGAGAAAGGTTCCTCAGACCGACACACCAAAATTCAGTCCGACCAAAACAGGAGGTCTGTAGTACTGTTGAGTACTTTAGTACTGTAGTATTGTGAAGTACTGTGTTGTTATCACACCGATGTTTCTTCACGTGTTTTAGTTTCTGCAAAGTTTGGTTTGATGACGGGCAGAGACGTCATGATTGACAGCTGAGACTGACTCGGGCTAAACATGTGCCAGACGATAACGTTCGTATATATTTTGGTTAAATTCCTGGAAAGTGGGAGGAAGTGGAAACGATTGGTTGGAACACCACCTCAATCACTTTTTCTTTGTTTTGTTGTATTTTATTCTTTGGCCTGATGCACAAACCTGAAATTAATAAATTAATGTTTCCTGGTCTCATGTACTGACGTAAAATACTAATTCATCGGTCTGCTCCCACAAAACGTTCACCTCAAAGATAGAATACATGCAAACAAACTGAATTTGTGACATCATCAGCCAGAATCTGTAAATTGAAGTCGACTCAGTGGGTTTTCATGGGTTTATTTATGGTCAGTGACGGCGGGGACGGCAGACAGATGCTCCTCTGTGGAGAAACAGAGCAAGGAGGTCAAACAGTTCACTTCAGGTCACTGATGACTTCATGAGGCCGACGGTCTGACGCAGCTGAGTGGAAACGATAGGGAGGACAGATGTGGCCAGATGTGTGACATGCAGCAGAGAACCACTGCAAATTACAGAAAGACATAAATTAAAGGCCATTACCATCATGACACACACACACACACACACACACACACACACACACAACATATGGACTGTGTGTGTGAGCGATTAGTGAGAATGAGAGGCTGACAGCGTGCGTGGGCTCGTGCATGTACTCTCACCCTCTGCCCTACTTTCAGACTGATGATGCTGCAGAAAAGAGGGGAGGGAGTATCCCACAATGCCCTGCTGCTCGTTCCCTGGCCTGGATGGATGGATGGATGGATGGATGGATGGATGGATGGATGATGGATGGAGAGATGGATGATGGATGATGGATGATGGATGATGGATGGATGGATGGATGGATGGATGATGGATGGAGAGATGGATGATGGATGATGGATGATGGATGATGGATGGATGATGGATGATGAATGGATGATGGATGATGAATGGATGATGGATGATGGATGATGGATGATGGAT